TGAGGCTGTGAGACCTCCATTCTCTTTGGTTTTAGTCAGGAGCTAAAGGAAACAGCTATTCGAAGTTTTTTGTGGTTCCATATAAATCTCACTAATTTATATGGAATCAGTATTTGTTCTATTTCTTTGAAGAATGTCATTGAGACTTTTATTGGGATAGCATTAAATCTGTAAATTGCTTTTAGTAGGATGGCCATTTTAATAATGTTACTTTTTATAATCCATGAGCAGGGGATGTCTTTCCATTTCTTGGTGTCGTCTTGGATTTCTTTTAACAGTGCTTTATAATTTTCTTTGCATAGATCTTTTACCTCTTTTGTTAGGTTTATTCCCAAGTATTTGATTTTTTTTTTTAATTGTAAAGGGGATGGCTTATTGATTTCCACTTCTTCTGACTGATTGTGTATAGGAAGGCTACTGACTTTTGTGTATTGATTTTATATCCTTCTACTTTACTAAACTGGTTAATTGTTCTGATTAGTTTATCTATGAAGTTTTTAGGGTTTCCATGTAAATTATCATGTCATCTGCAAATAAAGATAGTTTTACTTCTTCTTTCCCTATTTGGATTCCTTGTATGTCTTTTCCCTGTCTTACTGCTCTGGCTATGACTTTCAGTACTATGTTGAAGAGCAATAGTGATAATGGACATCCTTGTCTTATTCCTGATCTTAAAGGAAAGGCTTTCAGCTTTTCTCCATTGAGGATAATACTGGCTGTGGGTTCGGCACATATGGCTTTTATTATGTTTAGGTACGTTCCTTCTATTCCAAGAATTGCAAGGGCCTTTATCATAAATGGACGTTGAGCTTTGTCACATTTCTTCTCTGCATCTATTGATGTGATTATGTGGATTTCATTTTTCTGTTGGTGGATGTGATGTATGATAATTATTGATTTGCAGATGTTGAACCATCCTTGTGCCCCTGAAATAGAGCCCATTTGGCCTCGTGTCTTATTTTTATGCATTGTTTGACTCTGTTAGCTAAGGTTTTATTGAGGATTTTTGCGTCAGTGTTCATTAAGGAGATTGGTCTGAAGTTTTCATTTTTTGTGTTGTCTTTGTTAGCTTTTGATATTAGTGTGATGTAGGCTTCATAGAATGTATCTGGTAGTATTCCTTCTTTCTCGATTTTTTTCTAATGCATTTGTGCAGAATAGACACTAGTTCATTTCTGAATGTTTGGTAAAGTTCATTTATAAATCCATCTGGTCTTGGCCTTTTTATTCTTGGATTCTTGGGGAGAGTTTTAATTACTGCTTCAATTTCACTGCTTGTAATTGGCCTGTTTAGTTGTTCTATTTCTGTATCTATCTTTGGATGATTCTAAAGTTGTAGGAATTTGTCCATCTTGTCTATATTGTTGAACTTGTTTGCATATAGCTGTTCGTAATATTCTCTGATTATTCTTTTGATTTCTTCTATGTCTATTGTGATTTCTCCTCTTTCATTTATGGTCCTGTTTACTTGTGCTTTCTCCTGTCTTTTCTTTGTGAGTCTGGCTAGAGGTTTGTCTATTTTGTTTACGTTTTCAAAGAATCAACTTTTGGCTTCATTGATTTTTTTGGATTGTTTTCCAAACTTCTATTTCATTTATTGCTGCTTTGACTTTTATTATTTCCTGACTTCTACTGGCTTTGGGTTATTTTGTTCTTTTTCCAGTTCTTTAAAGTGGGGGGTTAGGTTGTTTCTTTGAGATGTTTCTTGTTTCTTTAGATATTGTTATGTATTTTCCTCTTATAACTGCTTTTAATGAGTCCTATAAGTTTTGGAGACTTGTGTCCTCATTGTCCTTCTTCTCAAGGTACTTTTTAATTTCTTCTTTATCCATTGGTCAAATGATAGTGTGGGGTTGAGTCTCCACGGAGTAGGAGGGTTTCTTGCCTTTCTTCACATGGTTTATTTCTAGTTAAATTCCTTCATGGTCAGAGAAGATAGTTGGTATGATTTCAGTCTTACTGTATCTATTGATATTTATCTTGTGTCCAAGACAAGTATGTGATCAATCCTTGAGAATGATCCATGAGGATTTGAGAAAAGTGTGTACTCAGATTTTTTGCAATATTCTATAGATGTCTGTTAGACCCATGAGGTCTCGTTTCTTGTTTAGAGCTTAGTGTCCTGTCCTTACTTATTTTTGTCTTGTTAATCTGTCCACTGTTGAGAGTGGTGTATTGAAATCTCCTACTGCATATGTAATTTCTCTAATTCACGTTTTCATAGCTGATAAGTTTCCTGATATATTTTGGTGCTCCTTCATTTGGTGCATATATGTTGATGAGTGTTAAGTCTTCTTGCTATATTGTCCCCCTTAGTCATAACGTAGAGGCTGTCTGTGTGTGTGTGTGTGTCTCTCTCTCTCTTTTTTTTTTTAAGATTTATTTATTTATACATACAGAACTGGGGTACAAACCAGAGGTGCAGGGGTGGTGGGAGGATTCACCAGAGACAGAGCAGAGAGCAGAACAGGCAGATCAACAAGGTACACTGCTTAGGGGAGCAGTGGGAGGGTGGGAGAGGTTTGCCGAGCCATGAGGATCACTTCTGGGGCGGGGATTGAACTTGCACTGATGTGGCTGCAGTCAGCTTGCAGAGCTGTATCCTAACCCGTTGTGCCACCAGGGAGGGTCCCTCTGTGTCTCTTTTAACCTTTTTTAGTTTGAAGTCTGTTTTATCTGATACAAGTATAACTATTCTGGCCTCCATTTTTGGTCCATTTGGTTGTAGGACTGTTTTCCATCCTTTTACTTTCTATTTATTTTTATCTTTTGCAATTGGATGTGTTTCCTGGAGATAGCAAAAGATTGGGTTCTGTTTTTTAATCCAGCCTGCAACTCTGTCTTTTTATTGATGAGTTTAAGCCGTTTACATTTAGAGTTAATACTGATACTTTAGCATCTATATTTACCATTTTGTTGGTCTTTTTGTGCTTTTATTTCTTATTTTGATCATACTCATCCCTCTGTTGGCTTTGGCTTAAGGGTATCTTGTAGTATTTTTTGGAGTTGGGTTTTGTTGTGGCAAAATTACAGTTTCTGTTTGTCTGAGAATGTCCTTATTTTTTCTTCATAGAGGAAGGAGAGCTTTGCAGGATTAAGTATTCTTGGTTGGCATTTGATGTCTGAGAGTTTGTTGAGAATGTCCCTCCATTCTCTTCTGCCCGTATTATTTCTTCAGAGAAGTCTGATGGCAGTCTGATTGGTTTTCCTTTATAGGTTGTTTCTTCCCTCTTGCCAACTTCATTATTATCTCCTTGTCCTCAATTCTTGGGAGCTTTACTGTTATATATCTTGATGTATTTCTCCTTTCATCATGGAAGTTTGGTGTTCTTGTTTTTTGTATGTCTGTTTTCATCTCCTTCAAACTTGGGGAGTTCTTTTCAACAATCTGAGTATTTTCTCAATTCCTTGGCCTTTCTCCTCACCTTCTGGGAGACCTATATAATTCTTATATTTCCGTTCCTCATGGTGTCAGATAGCTCTTGAAGTGTTCCTTCATCCTTTTTACTTCTCTTTTCTTCTCTATTTTGATTCTTTTTACTTCTGTGTCTTCGAGAATACTGATTCATTCTTCCATTTCATCTATTCTGTTTTCATTGCTTTTCTAAGAATTCTTTATCTCCTCCAGTAATCTTTTAATCTCCTGCATTCCTTTTATTTCCCTTTTTAAGGTCTTCAGTTCAGGGTAGAGATGCTAAATTTCCTTAGGTTTCTTTAACGCACTAAAAGAGTTTTTATACTGAGTGATAGGTGATCAGGTGCAGTATTACTAGGTCAAAGGATATACACTTTTCTAGCTTTTATTAGCTTCCCAAACCCACTCGGTGCCTGACCTTGCAGGGCAGTGGGCTTTAGAACCTTCCTACTGTCCCAGGCACTTCTCTTTGCAGGTCCCTGTGTCTGCCTCTGTGTCATCTTGGAAAGCATTCCTAGGCCCAAGAGGCCATTGCTATTTAAATATTCATGTCTTAAAGCTGAAAGTTTTCACTTTAATATAGTGAAAAAGCAAGGATGCCCACTGCAACCACTTTTGTTTAATACAGTGTTAGAGGCTTTAGCTAGAGCAGTAAGACAACAGGAAATCAAAGGAATCCAGTCTGGAAAAGAAGTGAGACTGTCAATACTTGCAGATGAGATGCTATCTATAGAAAACCCTATACACACCACCAAAAAGCTGTTAGAAACAGTGGATGTATTCAACAAAGAGGCAAGTTACAAAATCCATAGCATTTGTATACAGAAATAAGAAAAATGAAGAGAATGGTTCCATTCACAATCGCGTCAAAAGATTCAGATGCCTCAAAATTGACTTACCCCAAGGAGGGGAAGGACCAATCACAGGTTACAAGAGGATGTAAATTTAGGTCATGACATGAGATGATAGAAAAACATCACATGTTCATGGGTGATGAGAATCAATACAATCACTGTACTGCTCAAGCGGTATGTAAGGCAGACAGGTGGACAGGTCATTCTTACCTACTTTAGTGAATGGAGTTGGTCACTTTTGCATGTGGCCTCCACTTTGCCCCGCACCACTTGTTAAGGAGGTTTCCCACTTCCCGTGCATGCTTGCGGCGCCTTCACCATGAGCTAAGTATTGATATGTGCATGGACTAGTTCTAGAACTTCAGCTCTGTTCCCTCAATCCGTGTGCTGTTTAGATGCCAGTACTGCAGTCTTTTTAGTATGTTGCTTTGCAGTATAGTTTACAATAAGGTATCGTGACACCAGTTTCTCTCCTTTTCTCTCAAGTTCTCAAAAGCGATCCTGAGATGGTTCCATATAAATTCTAACATTTTGTGCTCAGTTTCTTTGAATACTGTAGTTGCTACTTTGAGGGGGAGTGTATTAACTATTTATCACTTTGGTAGGACAGTCATTTTGGAACAAAAATTTTCAGGCCTCTTGGATCAGAACATTTGGTTCATTTCCCAGAATGAGATGACTTGCAGCAATGATTTCTTCAGATAAATTTTCTGGGCCTTTCTCTGGCCTTCTGGGACCTCGATGATATAGGTGTTACTTCTCTTTAGGTTACCGCCAAGGACCTTACACAGCTTCCTTTTTTAAATTCGCGTTTCTCTTTGTTGTTTCTGTCTGTTCTCTATTGCTGTGCTTTCAAGCTCTCTAGCTCTCTTTACTGCCTGCCTTTGTCTACTACTGAGGGCCTCCGTTACATTTTTTTATTTGGATTATAGTATTTTTAGAAATATTATTTCTACTTGTAATAGTCTCATATTTCCTCCATCTGTATTTTGTTTCTATTTTTCATCATCCATTATTTTACTTTAATTCAGCAAACATAGCTGCTACTGTAAACTCCTCTTCAGGCACCTTTCACAATTCTACTGAGCTGAGACTCCTCTCAGGGCTTCTCTGCTGGTGCATTTGTGATGTGTTCTTCTGTCTCTTCGTGTTTGGTTCCTATGGGTTGCAATAGGGACTTTCCTTTTCTTAATAAATTGGCTTTCTAGGCCTCTTCTCAAAAAGCTGCATATGATCCTAGGCTTGGTGCTCAGGGTCTTTGAGCTGCTTGTTATTTCCCAGTCAGATGGCCGGGGCCTTGATTCCCCCGAGTCTGAGGAAGGGACCCGGGAGGTGCTGTCACGCACCACTCCCCCAGCTGCCAGGAGGGCTTGTGGCCTTTCACTTGGTACACAGATACCCATGACAGCAGCTAACCACGAAGATGCCACAGGGAGTGCAGCCCTTGTGTCTCAGGCGTGGGGAGCTGCCCCCATGTGGAGAGAGGTCCCCCTGTCGCAGGGAGATGCCCTGACACGGGGAGCTGCCCCCCTGATGCGGGGAGACGCCCCTGACGTGGGGAGCTGCCCCCCTGATGCGGGGAGAGGCCCCTGACGCGGGGAGAGGCCCCTGACGCGGGGAGATGCCCCCCCTGACGCGGGGAGATGCCCCCCCTGACGCGGGGAGAGGCCCCTGACGCGGGGAGATGCCCCCCCTGATTCGGGGAGATGCCCCCCTGATTCTGGGAGACGCCCCTGACACGGGGAGAGGCCCCTGCAGCACTGCTGGCTCAGACGGCTACCACCCTCCCGTCTCGCCCCTTCACATTACTGATTCCCCCAAGTGTCTGCACCTTCTATTCTCATGTTGGGGTTAAAAAAAACAAAAACAAAAACAGATCTTGTCCGGCTGGCTGGTTTTTGGCCATTCAACCATAAAATTTCATTTTGTGGTTAGTTTTGTTAGTTAGCTCAATTTCTGTGACTTCTACAAATCACCTTCTGCTGGTCAAGGGGAACAGCTTGCCCTGAAGCCCCAGCCACCTGGGGTGGGGAGCGCTGAGGTGGGCTTGAGGGGCTCCTTAGTGAGGCCGGGAGTTGGGTTTTATTGACTCTTGTCTCGGAGTCGTGGGCATTCAGGGGCCCGTGTCATGAGGGCAGGTTGCTCTTCGCCACACGTTGCCCGGATCCTTGTTAACGGTCTGGAGTGGATGCCAGACAGGGAAGTCTGCTGAGCGCAGAAATACCGAGACACCCCCTCCACTCGCCTGCTTTCGGGACGCTCAGGTGACACTTCTACCTCTTTTTCGTCTCGTATCTGAAAGCTCCTTGGGCTGAAACATTCGCCTTCTTAGAAGACGGAGCCTGCCTTGTTATGTATCTGAATTCCTCTTGGCCTTTTTCCTACCGACGCGGAGTCACGGGCTTCATTTTCATTTCCAGAAGTCGCCCCTGGTGGACATCCCGGTGCTGCAGTTCTGCTATGCTTTCATCCAAAGGTAACGCCGTCGGCCCTTCTCACGGGGATAACTCGGGGGGGCTGCTGCAGAGCGTCCGGCGTGGGCGCGTGCTGTGCCGCTCCCCGAGGCCTGGCGGTGCCCAGCTGAGCTGCTTTTGTCTTCTCTGGAGATCTGACCTGGCATTAACTTCCACATGCTCAACACTTTATGTCAGCAGAGCTTTAGAGGGGCCTGATAAACGTTAAGAAGTAGCTAGCATGTCACTGGTTGTGATAACAACAAAAATTAAAAACCTGTCCGAGACCTTTACAGCAGGAGACAGGGTGCTTGGGGCCCCCCTCTTCTGCTGGGTTGGCAGCTTGACCCCTCCCACGCCAGCAGCCTCGGGACAGGAGGCACGGCAGCAGACTGCACAGGTGCTTCTCCGAGAGGAAGGGGAGATGGCTTGGGCTCGCTGCAGCAGTGAGGGGTCACAGACCACCCAGGGGTGCCTGGAGCTCCCGGAGTCTCACAGGAATAGCTCCGGCAACTAGGCAGCTTCCGAGGCCAGCCCAGGCCGCCTGCCCCAGATGCCCACTGCACGCCCTGAAGCTGCAGGCAGGTAGAGCCAGGCGCGCAGACCCGCAGGACCGTGGTCTGGGAGCCGTGCAGAGCTGCAGAGCAGCGATCCCTCCACCCTCGTCATCGCTGCAGCTCTTGCTCCAGGAGCTGAGGTGAGCTGCTGTGCTGGCAGCACGGTACCTGTGGTCACGCCGGCAGCAGCGCCCGTATCAGAGAGACGCAGCTGAGGCCACTCAGCCGAGGTTGCGCACCAGGCCCGGGTGTGCCGCCCGGGTGGGCCGCCCTCCCAGATCTCGTCCCCCCGCAAGCCTGGCCCGAGAGCCCTGGAGAGCAGCTCTGGGCGGGTGACCCCTGACCTTACCTTTGCTCCTCCGCCCCTGTGGCCCTGTTACAACACCGGGAGCGCAGACGCTCAAGGACAAGGGCTCCCTGCAGCCTTTCAGTTAGGGACCAGGAGGCCAAGGCCTCTGACCCACGGCGCAGGCCCCGGGTCATGCGGACACACTTTGGCCTGTGCACACGCACGTACTTCAACAGGAAGAAATAGGTGGGTCGGACTTGCCGGCTTCCCTTCCACGCTCCAGCCCCGGGGCAGAAAAGGAGCTACTGAATAAACGCTTTTGTACTGACCTGCTCATGGTTGGGTATTTTTTTCTGTGTGGTTTTTCAAACAGGCTCCCAGTGACTGCCCTGCAGGCGGACTCTGCTTCTCTGCTGGCCGTGTTGAAGGAGTCAGTGCAGCTGAACCTGGCTCCCCCTGGCCACTTCCTGCTCCTCAGGTAGGGGACCCCACGTTCGCAAGGTGCTTGTTATTTTCTGCAGGAATGTATTTTTGTTTCTGCAGCATCTTTTTTTAAGATTAATTTATTATGCATAGAAGACCTGGGGTGTTGGCCGGAGGTGCGAGGCGGGAGGGGAATGAGAAGATTCACCAGAAACAAGTGGGGAGCAGAACAGGCAGATCTACTGAAATCCACTGCTGAGGGGAGCAGCGGGGAGCCGGGAGGGGTCTGCTCTGCCCTGTGGGTCACTCCCTGGCCGGGGCTCGAACTCAGGCCATAGAGATAAAGTGCTGAGACTAACCCCTGCGCCACCAGGGAGGCCTGCTGCAGTGCTCCTGGTCTGAAGGTGATTGTCTCTCCACAGCATGCTGAATGACTTTGTCACGAGAACTCCCAACCTGGAAAGCAAGAAGGATCAGAAAGATCTGCAGGTCTGTCTGGCGGTGTCATGTAAGCTGGCGGCTGCAGCCAGCTTTCCCTTCCCAGGGGTCTCGCAGGTAGCAAGCACTGGTTGGGGTAGAGAGCGTGCATTAGCGCCCAGGTGGGACCCCCATAACTGCCTGCGGAGGCCTCCACGGCCTCAAGCCGATCTCCTTGAGGCGCCGTGTGTCGGGCAGGAGCCGTCTGCTGTGCAGTTGGCAAGACGCTCGCCCCCACTTGCCAGATGAGGGGGGCTGGCCTTCAGTGTAGCAGGGATGATAAATCTCCATCCATGGTCTTGCTTCTACGGCTCTTTCTTCCTTCTCCCCGCCTTGGTAGGGAGGAAATCCATACTCCTGGGAAGTTTGCAGAATTTGGAAAACTAAAAGTAAAGCCCGCCCCCTCCCGCCTCCCCTTGCCCCGTGGACAGTCTCCCGGGAGCAGGAGCATGCCTGCACGAGTCAGATAAAGAGGGGCCAGTGCTGCCTTTGATCACTGCTGGAGAGCTTGGTCTCCTGGCTCCATGTTACGGCTTTGATGCTCTCACTGCTGGCTGTGCATGGCCTGGTGGTGGCGAAAGGGAAGGGCTCCCCACCCCCGATTCTGAAGCGCCGCCATAGTGAGAACATCCAGGCGGCTGGTTGGTCTCCACTTGCAGTGAGGAAAGCGCCATTAAGAGCCAGCCCCTGACCGCCCCCTGCAGCTCACGCCCCAGCTAACGCCTCGTGGCCTGCAGCCGGTGGCATTACGCCACTTGTAGCCAGCACACGTCTCCTCAGCACCTTTGGGGGCCAGGTGGGCCCCTGCTGCTCGCCCACACGCCCCAGGTTCAGCTCTAAGTTCCAGGGTCACCAGACACCTCTGCTCCGTCCGCTTTCTGCATGCGACCTGCCTCCCCCTAACCCCCCCAGCTGCCCTCAGGCGCCACACCGCTCCCAGGTGCCCGCTCCCTGGCTCCACACAACGTGCACTGGCCCTGGGAGTGGCCTCAGGGCTCCTGTCCTCGGTGTCGAGGACCCCGAGCGCTCACCTGTGACACCTGACGGTGCTGCTGAGAAGCCGCAGCGTCTGGCCCTTACCTGGTGCTCCGCCAGCTTCCTTCCCTGGGGTGCTCCTGCTGCGAGGACCCGCACCTCACCCTCCCAGGCAGTGTGGATAATGTTGCTTTTTGTTGCGCCACTGAACGGCATGCTTCTAGCAAGCACCCAGGGCCCTAAGAAACCAGGACGCGAGCCTGGGGGTGCCCTGCCTGGGGACACCGTGCGAGCGCTGACTTCCTGCCTGCTTGCTGCATCGGCGGGCGGTGCCACAAGCCATGTGAGCGCCCGGATGTGGCTCGCCAGGGAGGGGCGTGCTGTGCAAGGGGTGTGAAATGCACGCTGGTTTCAGAGATGTAGCACAGAAAAGAAAGGCCGACGCGCGCTAGTGACTTAGGTGCCTCGCGTGACGACAGTCCTGTCCGCGTGCCTCGGTTACCTTTCAGGGCGGTTCCTAGAAGGCGGCCTCTGCGGCCCGCATGGGCTGCGTCACGCGTCGCCAACAGCTGCTTGTACACTTCAGGTGCTTTTTACCGACTTCCTCTCCTTTCCTCCTCATGCTCAGGAAGTCACTCAAAAGATCCTGGAAGCCTTGGGAAACATCGCTGGCTCGTCCTTGGAACAAACCAGCTGGCTAAGCAGAAACCTGGAAGTGAAGGCCCAGCCCCAGCTCCCTCTGGAGGGGTCTGATGCTGAGGACGACCTGAACGGTAGGTGCGGGAGGGCCGGAAAGCAGCCCCGTGGCCAGCTGCTGGGGCTCCGGGTCCTCTCGGCAGGACGGCCTGGAGGAGGAGGCCACAGAGAGGTCGGAGGAGGCCCAGGCTACCCAGAGAGCCTGGCGGTCCACGTCGACTTGGCAGGAAAATTAAACAAGTCCTCGGCTTCCAGCTTCCCCCCAGTCCGAACTAGGTGATGAGTGATGATTGGAAGGCGTGGCCACCCACTGCCCCCCCCGCACCCCCCAATCCACAGTTTTAAGAAATGGGGAAAATCAGAAGCCTTGAAGGAACAAGATGCCCCAGCCCAGCCTGCTCTAAGGCGCTGGCAGAGCCTGAGGCGACAGATGGACCCCTGTCGGCCTCCGTCCCAGCTCCCTGCCACCAGGTGGATGGACTGCTCACCTCTCTGTCCCCCAAAGAGCCCCTAGACCTTGTCCCGGGCCCCTGCCGCTCCAGGACAGAACTGTGTCTTTGGTAAAGGATTTTCTTTTAGATGTATTTGTTTATCTGTGCACACAAGAGCTGGGATATAGGTCGGCGGTGTGGGGGTGAGAGGACTCACCAGACAGAGTGGGGAGCAGAACAGGTTGACTGAAAGGGCGTTGCAGAGGCCCTCCCCGGCCGGGGATGCAACTCGTGCTGCAGCCTGATGGCTTCACTGCCGCTGCGCTTTAACCCCTTGTGCCACCGGGGAAGCCCAGGTAAAGGTTTTGAAGTGAATATAGTCAAAAATGAGAAGGCAGAGAAGAGAACACGGGTGTCAGTGTCCTGGGCTAGTGACGCATAGTGACAAAACTGACGTGTCCTGTCACTGCATGGACTTTCTTACTACGATGGGGCTGTCCACTGAGAAGTGTTGCTGGTCATCCAAGGAGGGGCGAAAAGTGAGAGCTGGAGGTTGGGAAAGACCTGTGGCACCCGGAGCCCGTGGCGGGGTACCGGGGCCTCCGCGGTAGACCAGTGTGGTTGGGCTGCTGCAGGCCACCGAGCTGCGGAAACCCTCAGGCGTGACGTGGGCTTAGCCAGCAGCGCATTTTCGTCGATGAGGACTCAGAAGCAGGAGCCGAAGCGGTCAGCGGGGTGGCGAGGTGGGGCACACGAGGTGTAGGTGGAGAGAAGGGGAGGCCGCAGTTGCTGAGCAGCCGGTGAGCCCCGGGGGGCGAAGGGTCAGAGGCCTGTGCGGGGATTCAGACAGGTCTGGGAGGGAGTGAGCAGGAGAGACCGGACACGCTCAGAGGAGGCTGCTGGACGCGGGAGGCCGAGGCCCAGATGGGGGTGCTGGGTGGCCAGCGGGCCAGACAGCGTGCCGGAAGGGCGGCGCCAGGAGCTCACGGCCAGGACAGCCCCAGCCGGAGGCCGGGAGCGCTGAGGACGGCGGAGCTGGGAGCAGGCTGCGGTGGCTGTTGGCTGGCCACGCGCCCGGCCCTGTGGCTGCAGCTCAGCCTGTGGACGGAGCACCCGCCACGCCACAGGCTGAGGAAGGGCGTGGCCCAGGGCGCCTTCACGGGCTGAGTCGGGCGGTCAGCGCTGACCCTCTCTGTTGGCAGAGGCCGCCGCCACGTCAGCCATGGTGTCCGCGTCCACGCCCTCGGTGTACAGCACGCAGGCCCTCGCCCTCCTGGCGGAGGTAAGTGCACATGCTGCAGCCACCTGCCGGGGCTGGCAGAGGGCGGTCTGTGCTGGCCTCCGGCTGCCCCTGGAGGGCTCTTCTGGGGTCTCCGTGAGGACCCGGTGGCGGCGTCTCGCGGCTGCAGACCCGATCCTGGCGGTCTCGTTGCAGACCCTGGCCTCTCTCCTGGACATGGTGTACCGAAGCGACGAGAAGGAGAAGGCTGTGCCCTTGGTCTCCCGCTTGCTTTACTACGTTTTTCCTTACTTGCGCAACCACAGGTGAGTGGCCGTGTCCTCACTGAATGCACCGATTTTCCCGTCTCCGACCGTGGCCCTTGACGCCCGCCTCTCCCCCCAGGGCCTGCAACATCCCCAGCTTCCGGGCGGGCTCCCAGCTGCTGAGCTCCCTGAGCGGATACGCCTACACCAAGCGGGCCTGGAAGAAGGAGGTCCTGGAGCTGTTCCTGGACCCCGGCTTCTTCCGCATGGACACGTGCTGCTCAGAGTACGTGGCGCCGCCCGGGCCAGTGCGGCCGGCCCTGAGGGGGAGACGGGGGCGGAGCGCGTCCAGGCGGGACATCCCCAGCTCAACAGATTCCCCGTCAGGGGTGTGGCCGGCACCCTGGTCTCACAGTCATAACGTGTCGGTCGGACATCGAGGTGGCAACGTGCTTGTCCCTGTCTGGGCCTCACTGCCGGCCTCTTCAGCCCCCGCAGCAGGCCAGGCCCAGGGTGGGCAGTGGACATGCGTGGACACAGGTGTGAGCTGTCCTTCCTGGGCCTTCTCCTTGAAGGCCAGCAGTGCCCCTGGGTGACTGCCCTGGCCTGACAGGCCCTGACTGGTGGCGGGCAGAGGCGGCGCCGGGCGGCTCTTCATCCAGCCTGCGTGCCCACCCTCACACCAGAACCCTGTCACGTCTGACCTGTAGCTCCATTGCCTTTTGGGGGCCCAGTGAAGGCCAGTGGTGTTTGTGTTCACTGGCCCTCACTTCTCGTCAACAGAAGTGCATGTGCATCAACCTGGGTGGGCACATTCAGGAGAGACTCTGGATCCCACCAAAGTACCTGGCCAGCTGCTGTTGGCTTTCTTTAGAAAGATCTGTTCATCTGTGCACGCAAGAACTGGGTACAGGCCAGAGCGTGGGGGGTGGCGGTGAGAGGAGTCACCAGAGACAGAGCGGGGAGCAGAACAGGCGGGTCCGCTGAAACCCACCGCTGAGGGGGCAGCGGGGAGACGGGAGGGGCCTGCCGCGGCCTGGGTCCCTCCCTGGCCGGGATCGAACTCGTGCTGCAGCGGCTGCCGACAGCCTCAGAGTGCTGGGACTCACCCCCTTGCCCCAGAGAGGCCTCAGCTGCTCTTTGCATTTGCAGTGAGAGGGGACTGCGCCCACCCACGTCTTCGTCCCTCGTACTAAGCTGTAAGTGGGAAGTGTGTACTCAGTCCTCTGTGTGCTCTGTTCACGCACCCACTTCAGAACGCATTGCTCGTCAATCCTACAGGGGCTGTTCTTGTGTGGATGCTTTTGATCAAATCCTCATTCTTTAATTTTGGGTTTTTTTTAATGCCCAGTTGGAAGGCCATCATCGACCATCTCTTGACCCATGAGAAAACGACATTCAAAGACTTAATGAGTAAGTCCCATGTCGCGTGCACAGAGGTCACACCCCGGGACCTGGCCGCGTCGTCGGCTGTTAGCAGAGAGATGCTTAAGTGGCGATAAGCTGCCGTGACTGGTGTCCTACCAGTGAGTCTCCAGGACAGCGTTTCCACAGACAAATGTGCAGATGGCCGCGCTCGCCCTCAGTCACGGTCAGGGCGTCCCCGGGGCAGTCACCCCGCGGCACCGGCGTGCGGCTCTCACTGAGTGCCCTTGCTGTCGGTGTGTGTTCCAGACATGCCCAGCAGCTCCTTGAAGCTGTTCTCAGGCGTCTCGCAGAAAGCCATGCTGCTCAAGCGCCAGGCCTTCGCCGTCTTCAGTGGAGAGCTGGACCAGTACCACCTCTACCTCCCCCTGATACAAGGTAGGACGGCCGGCCGGCCCGCGCCAGGATGGCCGGGCTGCCCGCGGGCGGCGGGGGGAGGCGCCTGCGTCCTTCCCACCGCTGGGCCCTGCACTCCCACCTCGCAGAGGGGCGCGGGGTGGACGGAGGTGCGGCCCAGGCCCCAACTGCGGCGTTGCTGGGCTGCTGTCGTGGGAAGGCAGCGGCGAGGGCCATTCCCAGACTGCGCGTTGTGTGACATCTGTAAAATCTTCTTTCCTTAGAACGCCTGGCAGACAATCTCAGAGTGGGACAGACGTCCATAGGTGCTGCCCAGATGTTTCTTTTTTTCAGAGTTCTGCTGCTAAGAATATCTCCTCAGCATTTGACTTCCCTGTGGCCAATAATGGTCTCGGAATTAGTAAGTACGGATATTTCACTCTCAAAAGCAAAGTTGGAGCTTTTCAAGGTGCTTCTCCCAGGAATAATCTCGAACTTCTTATGTAGCTGTTTTTTTTTTTAAGATAGATTGATTTATGTGTGCAAGAACTGGGATAGGCCAGAGCTGTGGGGCAGAGGTAGGGGAGAGGACTCCCCAGAGACAGAGAGGGGTGCAGAGCAGGCAGACTGACTGAAATACGCTGCTGAGGGGTCTGCGGGCAGGTCAGGAGCAGTCTGCTGCACCCTGTGGGTCACTCTCTGACTGGGGATGAGATTTGTGCTGCAGTGGCTGAGATAGCTTCACAGTGCTGGGACTTAACCCCTGCACGCCCTGTAGCTAGTTTTAACTGCCACATGTCAGATCTGATTGGCAGCACATGTCAGCCCTCGCTGAAGTGAAATCACCTCTTGTCCTGCTGCTTGATCTCGCACTGTGAGTTACTCCATCGCAGCTAGACCCCGCGTTACTCCCTGCTGTTTTCTGTGGGCTTAGTAGTCTCAGGCAGGAAGGGGCTTGCTCCGTGATAGTAACTAGCTTGTGTGTTTTCTTTTAAGATTCAGACGTTCAAACAGCTAGAAAAAGAGCTGAAGGACGCGCTTGACCCAGTGATGTGAGTAGCTACTTGTTCTGCATGAAATGAAAGCCAGCAGGGTGCCGGCGGCCGACCTGTCAGGGTTAGCTCGCATGCTCCACTGTTTCTTGTAGCACTTGTCAAGGGGTCTGTTATTTTGGTTGGTTGGTTGGTTGGTTTTTTAAAGATTTATTTTTACTTTATTAATGCATATAAGAACTGGGTGTAGGCCAGCGGTGCGAGGGGTTAGAGGGAACAAGATTCACAGAGACAGAGCCGGGGGCAGAACAGGCAGATCTACTGAAGTTGCTGAGGGGAGCAGTGGGAGGACGGAGAGGTCTGCTGCGCCCTGTGGTCACTCCCTGGCCAGATGGAGCTCAGGTGGCAGTGGCTGGCCATAGCTTGGTAGCGCGCGAACTTAACCCCTGTGCTACCAGGGAGGCCTCAGAGTCTGTTATTTTGTATGTTTCTTACAAGGAAAACCCTTCTTATGGACATTTCATAGGCAAATGTACCAGAGCAAATGTGAATGACTCATAACAAGAGTGTCTTTGCAAACTTAATAGATCTCAGCATTTCTGCGACCTAGAACACGATGAGTATATAGACCCCCACCTGTACTTGGCAGCTTGCAAGTTCTTGGACACGGCACTGTCTTTTCCACCTGACAAGATGCCCTTGTTTCAGATGTAAGTCAGAGGGGACCGTGCATCCCCGAGGAGGGGTGGCTTTTCTTTGCTTGTGAGCACTGGACCTCTGCTTTCCTGGACGGTGTGTGTGAGAGACACCTCCGCGTGGGTTCCTTATGAATTCCGCTCCCCATGTGATGGGCGGGGGTGTGTGTGGGTCTGCAGTGGGTTTTGCTCCTTCAGTGAGGATCCACTGCTGTCCTCACTAGGCCGTTTGGTGTAGGCCGTTTTGTCTGCTTTTGTCTGAGTAGACGGCACCTGCTGTCCCCACGCACTTTCCCCCGGGCTTAACTTCCATAGGCCTAACACAGCGGCTCACGCGTTTCATTTCATGCCTGGTCCCGACGCTGCTTCCGTCTGTCCCACCCCCCAGGGCGAGTCATCGTATATAAATGTTAGTGGTTAAAATCCAGATTCTCTTTAAATGCATTCCGCAAAGTGGAGGGGCCAGTCTGAAGAGCCACACGCCACACGACTCCATGATGTGACATTCTAGAAACGGCAGCGCTGGAGACAGTGAAAATGATCGGTGGCTGTTAGGCATCATGGGGGCGGGGGTGCACAATATGGACATTCAGGGCAGCAAAACTGTTCTGTGCAATCTGTAATGAGGGAGACAGGTCAACACATCCTGTCCAAACTCGCAGAACATACACCCTCAAGAGTGAACCCCTAGACAAACTGTGGACTCGAGGTGGTAGTGGCGAATCCTTGTCAGTCCAGTGGCTGTAACAAATACACCGCTGGTGGGAGTGTGGGTGGCCGGGGAGCTGGGCATCGAGGGGACAGTGGGGACCGTGGGAAACGTGTTTCTGCTCAGCTTTGCTTTAAACTTAGAAATTGTAAAAAAGAAAGTATTAGTTTTTAAAAATTGGATTCTGGTGTGTATGAATATGCACAGCAGCATTATTCATAACCAGCAAAATGTGCAGACATCCCAAATGTCCATCAGTTGCAGAATGATCCTTAACATGTGGTCTCTTCATGCAGCAAAATACTCAGAAATGATGACACTTGACAGCATTATGGGGGTGAAAGTCCCCCAGCCCCTGAGAGCACTGTGTTGTGTGACCGTTTATCTGAAATGTCCAGAGTAAAAACAATCTGCAGACAGAAAACAGACTGGTGCTTGCTTAGATCAAGGGCTGGAGGGAACTGAGGGACGACAGCTAAAGGGAGAGGGCTTCTTTCTGGGGCATTAAAAATATCCTACAGTTGAAGGTGGGGTGGGCCACACATTACGTGGGTGCGCCGGGCGGTTGGGAGCCCTCAGTCGGTTGGCGAGGGGCTTGAGCTGCCGGCCTCACCCCGTGCCCTCTCCAGCTACAGGTGGGCGTTTGTTCCGGAGGTGGACACAGAGGACCCACAGTCGGACGTGGAGGAGAAGCAGGAATGCATCCCCTACACCGTTCGGATCCTAGAACTTCTCAAGTTGAAATACGAGGTAAATGTTTTCAGTGACTGAGTCACTTCAGAATTTCTCTTCTCTGAGTGCTGAAACCGGGCGATGGTCGCACCTGTCTAGCTGCATCTGCTGGCCCTGAAGCGTCTGGGCAGCGCGCTCAGACAGATGTCCCCCTCCCCTGGAGGAAGGGCAGGGTCTGGGGGAGGGGGCTCAGGGGTAACCGCCCTCCCCCAACCCCTCACCCCAGAAGGTGCTGCAGCCCCGCCCTCAGCGCTGACACGCACCTCCCCAGCACCCATCACGCCTTGCTCAGCGGGTCGTTGTCGTGGGTTTTTTGGCAGAAAACAAATGATTTAGATGAGATCGCCACGAAGAGTGAATTTCCTCTCCTGCGCCAACAGTCTGTTGAATGCCTGGAAGAACTGATGCCATTCTTCGAGACCCTAAACTGTGCTTTTAAGACCCAAAGTAATACTGACTCCCCAAGATCCCCACCCTTAGAGTTCCCTGTGGCAGATAGCCTGAGGGTCTTGAAACTACTGGAAGAGTGTGTTGAACATGATTTTTTGGATCATCTGGAAAATTAGCTTCTAAGACTTTCAGCCAGTAATTGAGACTGCAGCAAAAACCAGGATACACAGGTGACCCTGAGGGACTTGGACTGGGCTGTGGCGTCCTCGGGCCCTGCGCCACGGACAGCCCTTCCAGGTGGAGGGAGGGCTGTGCCTGGCACTTGGGCTTGGCTGCTGGAGCAGGGGCGGGGTTGGGCCCCTCACCCACCTGGGCCAAGGGTCCGTTGTTTTGTTTCCAGACAGAAAAGGGGCTGGAGGGGGATTTCAGCAAGTCTAAGTTTTGAAAGTAAAATTCAAGTATTTTGTTGGGCCACAAAACACTTCCCTCGATGCCTTGTAATATATTTGGATCGGATTCTATATTTCTTGTTCGGTTTATGTACAGAAAATAAAATTAATATATCCCCTGGTGGTAGCACGAACTTGTAACGGGAAGTAGCCCGTTGCTCTCTGCTGAGCCGGCGTCGCCCGCTGCGTCTCTCTCCATTTGAACGTCTGGAGCCTTGTCCTTAAACTTTCTCACGTGTCCTTCGCGATGCTTATTTCGGGGCCTTATTTTAAAACGAAAGTATATTTTTTGAAAATAGCAACGGCCCTCCCATTGGCTGCAGCAGAGCGAGGCCCGCGCCACGCAGGCGCTTCGCTGCTCTCCGGCCACAGATGTCCTCAGCCCGCGCCAGCCGCAGCGTCCATTTCACACCCGAGTCACGCAGCCTGCGGCCTCTTAACGCCTGAAATTGCTGGCAGGAATCCCCTCTCTGGACTCTTCCCTTAGACTCTGCGGAGGGGAGAACAGTTTCTTTGCCACTTGGCAGACTTCACTGTTCACTGAACAGCGCTACCCCAGACGTGGCCCAGCGTGGTTCTGCTCGTCCAGCTTCTGAATGCTTCTGCTTGGGCATTTGGAGTCCGGGCTCTGCACCCCTCCACCTGGGCAGGTGCCTGCCACACCTGTCTCTGAGCTTATTTTCCAGGGGGCCCCCTCCCATGCAGACCTGATCCCCCGCCTGAGTGTGCGCACACCTGTCTTTGCTGAGACCAGGGCGCTTTGGCGTTTGCCTAACGTGTTTCTCCTAACACCCCACACACACCTGCTGGTGCGCATGCAGTACAGAGGCAGGTTGGATCACTAGCCCCTGAATAGAACCTGGGACCACAGAGCCACCCTGACCCCCTAAATAAGGGCTGAAAAGACAGAGCACCACTAGAGATGTTGTTATTTGTACAAGTGCATGTTTAAAATTACATGGAAACGGCCCTCCCTGGTGGCGCAGGGGCTAAGGCCCAGCACTGTGAGTCTGTCCACAGCCACTGCAGCACAACCTCGATTCCCGGCCAGGGAGGGACCCACGTGGCGCAGCAGGCCTCTCCTTTCTTCCCGCTACTCCCTTCAGCAGTCAGTCAATCTGTTCTGCTCCCCACTTTGTCTCTGGTGAATCCCCTCACCTATACCTCTGGCCTGTTCCCAAGTTCTTGTATGCATAAATAAAACTTTTTTTAAAAATTACATGGAAATGATGTGTTTGCAAGGGAATGACTTTTAAAACATCAGGTTTGGTCATTAAAACTTTAAATACTGGGGCCCTCCCTGGTGGCGCAGCGGGTTAAAGCACAGCACTGAGAAGCTGGATCCACTTCTGCATGAGTTCAATCCCCGCCTGCCCCGGAGGAGACCACATGGCGAGGCAGACCTCTCCTGACCCGCCCGCTGCTCCCCTCAGCAGTGTACTTCATCCATCTGCCTGTTCTGCTCCCCACTCTGTCTCTGGTGAAGCCTCTCACCCTCCGCATCTCTGGCCTGTACCCCAGTTCCATATGAATAAATAAATAAATCTTTAAAAAAAATTTTTTTTAAATACTAACTTATAAAATAAAAAAATAATTTTAAATACTAAAAGTGATGGAGGAAAGAATAGAAAACCTGAAGGAGTCATCACAAGACGCAGGCGGTGGAGGTGCAGGGGGTTAACATGACCTTGCACCCAGCCATGGAAATCAAGACCCTCAGGTACCAGCGCCTTGTCACAAGGCTTCACGCCCAAGAGATATCAGTCTGCTGCGGGGAGTGTTGGGAGCACAGACCCGAGGGTGAAGCTACAGAGACTGGGTCTATTGCCAATCTCAGTCCAGTTCCACAGAATCAGCAGCAAACAGGGCCCCCCACAGAAGAGTGAGCCCCTCCCACAGAGAAAAAGACTGTCAGGGAGTCTCCCCCCTGCCCGGGGCTCCTGCCCACCAGCTCTGCCCCTCTGCCCATGACCTGCACCTGCCAGGGCCTCTCTGCACCGACCCCCTCAGCAGAGGCCGCTCTCCTCAGGCCGCCCGCCTGGCCCACGCAGCCTCTCAGCGAACCTGCCCCTCTCAAGGCAGCTCTTCCTGCCGGCCTGTGCCTGTGCAAGTGTCCTTCTCTGCCCTTTTTCCTAATAAACCTGCTCCTTCATGTAACTAAGGTCTCTGTCTCATGGAGAAACTCGCCTGTTGCCAGTGAAAGCTCTGGGAATTCTGGGGAAACCTTTCCCAGGGTGAGCCCCAGGACCCCGCTCTCCAAACTCATCTCCAAAAACTCCATCAAAGGTACAGTTGTAACTCCTGTTACGACCGCTTGTACTGTGCGTTATACACAACTCGGGGTGAGGACATAGCCATTGCTGATTGCCAGTTCCCATCAAGGAGGGTGTGATGGGTCACTGATCCAAAATGACCACTGGGGGCCTCCCTGGCAGCACAGGGGTTAAAGACACAGCTCTGTGGAGCTTTCACCAGCCACTGCGGCCAGAGTTCAATCCCAGGCCAGGGAGCTGACCTCTCCTGATGCCCACCGCGCCCCTCAGCAGTGTATTTCAGCAGATCTGCCTTTTCTGCTCCCCACTCTAGTAAGAGTCACCCTCTCTCCCGCATACACACACCTCTGGCCTGCACCCAGTTCTTCTACACAACAATAAATAAAATCTTTATAAATAATAAACAATGACGAGAGGCTGAGCTGCTTTTGTCCCAGAGGCTGTTGCGCTACGAAAGGGCTCTTGAGGGTCCCCTGGTGGGGCAGCCGGCTAACATGCAGCACTCCTAGGAGGGCCACTGCTGCTGCAGCACGAGTTTGACCCCCCCACCTGGGAGGTGACCCCCAGGGCGCAGCAGACCTGTCTCCCCACTGCTCCCCTCAGCAGTGTATTTCAGTAAATCCGCCTGTTCTGCTCCCCGCTCTGTCTCTGGGAAGTCTTCTCACCTCCACACCTCTGGTCTACACGCCAGTTCTTGTGTACAGACATAAACAAAAAATCTTTAAAAAAAAATAAGTCTTCCACAGGGATTACAATTGAGATGAAGAAAAAAAAAGGAAAGAAGAAAATTGTACAAAATGATGTAAAACTAAACTTATAAAAAAAATCTCCATAAATATCAGTGAAAAAAAAAATAAGCCTTCATCTTCAGTATTTGCATGGTCTGCAATATTTGCATGGACAAGACCAGCGCCAGGAAACCTGAGATGGCTGAGTCAGACAAAGCTGTCAGCAGTAAACAATCCAGCAGACCTGCCCCTGGCCTAAATAATCCAGCAGAGTAACTCCAGCAAACTCTGCCAGAGGAAACCCCCTCATGTACACTACGGAGTCCCCAGTCGCCTTATCCTATGAAGACCTGCTCTCCCCTTTTCTGGGGGTGACTCTCAGTCTGCCGGGTGTCCGCCCCCACCAACTTTCAGTCGTCACGCTTGGCCTCCCTTCTCTAACACCCGAGCAGTGAGAGGCGCAGGACTGGGGAAATGGTGGATGACGCTTGCACTCGCCGTGAACTCGCCATGAATGGGCAGTGTAGGAGACCAGCTCCAACTTTTGAGGTGTCTGGAGGCAACACAGGCAGGACCCTAAGATGGGAAGGCGTCGGTGTGCGGAGATTCCAAGAGGGGGAGAGGAG